CACTATACGAAGACTTAAACACACCCACGCATCTCTCCCATTTGCAAAAGAGAACATGGTACGTGAGACATAAGCTGTTGAAAATTTCCTTTAAATTGTCCTGGCAGCCCCAAGTGAACAAGAGAAAAGCACGCTTATGGTGAACTCTAATTCAGAGAGAAGGAATGAATATACTGAATTGTCTCAACACCCGGCTGTGCATAAGTTGCCATTCAGTTCAATGGTTTGGAAATTCTGCTCAGAAAAAGGCAGCAATGGGAAAATGATAGCAAATGAGGGCACGGATTGACTTTGGGGAGACATTATTAAACGGTTTCATTTTCAGGTGAAAGAAAAGGACACTGGCCATGTCTTCCCAGATCCCTTTCCCCTGCCTGATGCCCATGGGCAGAAGAATCACTACTACCCCCGCCCCCCCACCTCACCTGTCCCAACAGCTCAGTAGGAAGCTTCTAGAATAAGTTCTGATTCAAATTGGAGTCTCCAGTAAGGCTCCTGGAAGGATGTATTTTGGTCTGAAATTTGGCCTCATACAACACATCAGCCTTTCTCCTAGAAGGCAAGGATTATGCAGTATGCCAAGATATGCTAGTATTGTGCAAATGTTAATGCCGATGCCAATTCTCCCTATCATTCCACCCCCAGAATACTGAACAGGCCCTTGAGTTTCACCTTTGACCTGGTTTCCCTATTCTCAGCCAGCCATCTGTACTACTACCAGAGTGCTCTTCCTAGGACATACATTTGCTTCAAAGTCTCTCCAGTCTCCTTGAGTCTGCAGGAATGAGTCCAATCTCCCTTGTTTGGTCCTCTATCTGCCTCTAGATCTGCCTCCTGCTTGCTTCCAGCTCTGTCTCTCAGTTTTCTCCTTTAACCACCATGTTCCAGCCACATGAGACAACTCAGGGCTTTGGATCTGGCTGCTACTTGATGCTTCCTAATGTATAAATGCTCTTGGTATTTTCCTGATTATGACCCTTTTTTTCTTGTCCCTCTCCTATACTCACTGGTAAAAGTGTTTTTGCTCTTTGATCTTAAGAACCATTTTGGATGCCTATCTACATGCAGGTGAGCACTCTTTAATTCTCTGCTGACATAGGTAATAGGCTTTATTCATTTATTTGTCTCCCCTATTAAACTGTAATATTGTATTTTATCTTTTTTTTTTTTTTGTCGGTCGTGGGGCTTGAACTCTGGGCCTGGGCGCTGTCCCTCAGCTCTTCAGCTCAAGGCGAGCACTCTACCACTTGAGCTACAGGGCCACTTCCGGTTTTCTGGTGGTTTATTGGAGATAGGAGTCTCACGGTCTTTGCTGCCCGGGCTGGCTTTGAACCGCGATCCTCAGATCTCAGCCTCCTGAGTAGCTAGGATTACAGGCGTGAGCCACCAGCGCCCGGCTATCTTTTGGCAGTGCTGGGAATGGAACCCAGGGTCTTTGTGCCTGCTAGACAAGTGCCCTACCACCAACCTACACCTTCAGCTTTAGACATGAAATTCTTAACAAAAGGAAGCATTTCTTATTTTAGTTCTCAGAATCAAGCATAGTAACAAGCTTTCCATAAATGTTTGTTGACTGAAAATTAAATAAAGAGCCATCAAAACTAAGCGAAGCAGTACCATCCATTATTTATAAACATGGCAGGAAACTATCAGCAAGTTAATGAAAGCAGAAGATCCCAGCAGTAAGGCACTTTCTGATGGGTACCACATGGGATAGTGATTGGTTGGGGTAACAGCAAGAGGGATAGATGGATAAATGCCTTTTTAACAGAGGCTGTCATTAAGTCACCCTTTTCTTTTTTTTTTGTCGGTCGTGGGGCTTGAACTCTGGGCCTGGGTGCTGTCCCTCAGCTCTTCAGCTCAAGGCGAGCGCTCTACCACTTGAGCTACAGCGCCACTTCCAGTTTTCTGGTGGTTTTTATTGGAGATAGGAATCTCACGGTCTTTCCTGCCCGGGCTGGCTTTGAACCGAGATCCTCAGATCTCAGCCTCCTGAGTAGCTAGGATTACAGGCGTGAGCCACCAGCGCCCGGCAATGCTGTAATTTTTCTTACTTGTGTGTCCATCCTGGGGCTTGAACTAGGGCAGGAGCACTATCCCTGAATTTTTGAGCTCCAGGCTAGCACTCTATCACTTGATCTACGGATCCACTTCTGGCTTTTTGGAGATAAAAGAGTTAAGTGGAGATAAGGCTGGTGTGCCTGGGCTGACTCCGAACGGCAGTCCTCAGATCTCTCAGCCTCCTGAGTAGCTAGGCTTATAGGGCTGAGTCACTGGCACCTGGCTGCTTAAACATTTTTAATACGAAAAGGTACTGTGCTGAGAATGCATCTGAGGCTGAACTGAACAGAGGCCTAACTTTTAAGAACTGGGTTTCCCAAGTAGGCCAGGTCTGTGCCACCTGCTTCACGGCAGCATGGCAGGTAATAGAGAGCAGTTTTTCATTTCTGCTAAAGAGTAATGGAATGGAAAACTCTTGGGGGAAAGTTTGGCAGCTTATTCAGTTCCTCTTCAAATTTGGGTCAAATCCAGATTGGGACACTAGACTAAATTCAGTGCAAAGGAGACAAGGTCAAACAGGCTGAAGTCTGCACCTGTCCAGAGAAGCCCTTGAGGAGGCCCTTGGAGTGAGACGCACTGGAGAGATAATGTTCTGATCTGTTCCCAAGGAACATTTCCTTTCCTTTTGATGGGCCTCTGGGCCACCACCCCTGGAGCCATCAGCTACGTCCATGGGGCACTTGAGGACAGCAGGACTGTCACAGCCTCTGTCATCCTGCTGACATAAAGGCAGCCTTAGGATATGAAACAATTCAAGCAACCATGAAGCCGGGCCCATGGGTGGGACAAGGTTATGCGTACATGAATGGACTATAATTCACTACAACTTAAAAAATAGGATCTATCTAGGAGCTGCTTGACTGATGGCTGATGCAGCACAGAATCAGTTTCACATTGTCCTATAAGCTACAGATGCCTTTTGATTATGTTTTTCTTTTTTTCTTTTCAATCTCAAAGGTTTCCCATTCGATTTCTAATGGGTGACACACAGATTTCATATATTGCTTGTGTCTGGCTGGCCCTAATGCGCTGACGTCATAATAGCTAAGCCAGGCGGGCAGAAGTGCAGTGCTGACTCATCCTGGTGATGTGTGGATTAGTGCTGTGTCTAACACAGAGCTATTATATGAGCTGTTTTTACACAAAAGAACTGTAACAAAAATGATTTGCCAGTCAGAGGACCAGAAATATGCAGTGCTAGGTAACTGAGGGGAAGGATGTGAAGACATAACGTAGTAACCATAAAGAATGTACACTGACATCCTCGAAGCATTGGCTAGCTCCTCTATCCATATACAGAGCAGAGAATAACAGGAGTCACTGGGTGCAGGTAGGACCCCACCTGTTACACGAATACATTATAGACAGCACCCATCTTTGGAAAGTCTAATCACCTGCCTTTCTCTGTTACCTTACATATCACATTCCACTTTAGTCTTAGCATCTTTTGGAGGAAACGTATTTGCCACTAGCTTCTAGGGGGGTTCGCGTAAGTCACACAAGCAGAAAAGCCATGGGAAGCTTCCTTTCTGTGAGAATGATTACAACACAAGAAACACATTGGAGTAGAGAGTCAGGGAAGTAAGATACGATGCTGTGAACAGGGACCGTGAGATGCTGCCAGAAGGATGCTGGTGATTATTTCTCATATTAGGTAACTGTCACTCCCTGTAGGATTTCTTGGGTGGCATCTCTAGTTGTGACTTTGATTATTTGGTTTCATTGCCCCAGAACTGTTTTCCTGCAGCTCAAAGTATTATTTATCCAAACCCACTTAGTGCAGCCTCATTTGGTCTTTAAACATTAGTTCTCTGCATTTAATATCAAGTCTTCCTTCCTTCCTTCCTTCCTTCCTTCCTTCCTTCCTTCCTTCCCTCCCTCTCTTCTTCCCTCCCTTCCTCCCTCCTTCTGTCCTTTACTCCTTTATTTCTTTCCCTAATTATCTTATATATTTTCCAAAAGAGAATGGTATCTTCTATAAATCTCCTAGAAGTGAAATCCTCAATTTCTTTTTTTTCACCTACTAGACTTTGTAATTTTGCAAAAAAAATTTTGCCTATTTACTTTTCAGTCTTGTTCTTCTTAGTAAAGGGATATTATAAATTTTGTCAATAAATGAAAGCTGTGATCTAGAAGTTAAAATTAAAAACGGATGGACCTGGGGATGGTTGAGTAACTGAAGAATAAATAATTGCCCATTGATTGACAGTGGAGTTTTACTGGCTGATATCTGGCTGCAGAATGTAAGCTCTAGTTTAAGACAACAGCGATTTTGGCAAATAGCAACTGCAGCAAAGTAAAGGGCAGTCTTTATAAAAGTGTAGTGGCTTGGACCACTGGCCTTAGCACTCTCTCATGATTGGAAACTTGCCATTTAAACATAATAATAATAATATATGACATAATATTATTATTGAGGCTGGTACCAAGGCTTGAACTCAGGAAGTCTTTCTCATCTTTTTTTTTAATATTTTTTTTCCCCTCATGGCTGGTGCTCTATGCTTGAGCCATACCTCTACTTATGGCTTCTTGCTGGTTAATTTGAGATAGGAGTCTCTTGTTTTTTCTATCTAGGCTTGCTTGTAACTATGATTCCCAGATCTCAGCTTCCTGAGTAGCTATGATTATAGGCATAAGCCGCTGGTGTCTGGCTTTAACATTATTTTCAACCGGTTTTCTTTCCAGAGGAAAACAAAAAAGGACACTGGCAATGCCTCTCCTCCTGCTCCATGGCCATGTGAGAAGACAAACCTTGAAGACCAGCAGGAAGCAACTCTGATACCACCACCAGTACCAACTCCGAACATACACATAAAAGCCAACACATACCGAAGATACAAAAACAAAATAAACTAGAAAAGATGACACTAGCAACCAAAATTTCACAACTCTTATTGATACTTTCCCTTAAAGGTTAAAAAAAAACCAGTTGTACTTACCTAAAGGGTAGGAGCAGGTGACAGACTGATGGTCAAGGTACTGAAAAACTAAAGGGAGAAAAAGAAACCATAATTAAACATACAATAACACAATGAGGAGAAGAAAAGCATATCTGCGTACCTACGGGAGTGGATGTTACCAACGGAGTTGATTTGGTCACCAGTAGTTCCAGAGTAAAGGAGAGTCAGCCTCAGAGAAATTTTCCAAAAATGTGACTCCCTGCTATAATGATCAATAATAGTACTTCCCAGAGCAAAGAAAGCTAAGATTTTGATCCATGTCATACTCAAAAAACTGTGTCACTGCTCAATACAGTGGCTATCAGCTATAGTTGTCTAAATTTAAATTCTTCAAAATTTAAGAGAACCCTCAAAATGTCACATTAGCCGCATTTCAAGTGCTTTTCAGTCACAGTGACTACCTTACTGAACTGCATGGACACAGGAAGAAAGTTTTCATGGACAGCTGTGACTAGAATAGGTACAGGCTTTACTATGTAGTACATCATTAATTTCAGCAACTTTTGAGAAAGATGATATATCTTGTCTCTTTAATGCCTAGAAGACCCTCTGGACAACTTCAACATGTCTGTGCACTGGGGACCTTCAGCAACACTGAAAACTCAGTGCCTTGACTTCCCTTTTGGGTACTGCCTCCCCCACCCTCTTCTCACCAGCCCCGGAAGGCTCCCTTGTTGATGGTGGGAAATCATGACAAAGAGTTTTAAAAACTGAAGCCTCTGTCTCTCCAAACACATCTCTAATAATGAAAAGTTCTGGTCTTGAAAGAGTTGATCTTCACAATATCTGATTTTGTATTTAAAATTAAAGAATCTTCCCATATAATCTTCAGATTACATGCTAAATCCCATGGGATAGAAATGGTATATCCACCATTATTATGTTACATTCTCTTACAGAAAGATAAAATTAAAGATAAATTTAAAGACAATTTAAGATCATATGAAAGTAAAAATCCACAAGAAGTTAATAGACAAAGCAAAGAAGGGTCTACCTTGGCTCTACTTAGAATGTATCCAAGACTTACTACATTATTGAACACTTAGTGAATCTCATCTCTCTGGCAGGAAGACTGTTAAGCACTTTGCAGAAGACCCCTAAGAAATACGCAAAACCACCTTACTAAGGGACCTGATCAAGTAATTTTGCACTAACAATTGCTGAAGCAAAAAACTACTAATTCAAGAAATCCTACTTTTCCTGAGAGCTCTCTAAACATACGTACTGAGGAAGAGATTTCTCCAGGGAAATGATTTCCTTTATGTGGAGCAGGTGAAATCTGCTCATGTACACTCAGTTGTTAAAGGGTGGTAGTCTCCTCCTGGGACAAGAAGAGTTAAGAAGAAAATCCACAGCCTGGATTATAATGCACTCACTCCAACACTAGAGAGGTTGGGGGTCTAACATGCTTTTAAATTGTTTTTCAAAATTGATGGGTTTAATGAAATTTCAAGCAAGATAATTAGATTATATATGAATTATTGAAAGTACATACAAAGTTGAAATACAAAACAAAAACAGAGAAGTCTTTAAAGACTTCAAAGGATTTTTTCTACATCTTTATCTTTCCTACAAGCTGAGACACTAGATGACTGCATTGACTTTTCTTCCTTCTTTGTGTTCTCTCCTCCTCCCTCATTAATACATTATGATCTTTTAAAATTATACCTGGCATTTATGTTTTTATATCTAATTGGATACTTTTTTAAATTTCAAGGAACAACTTACTCATAAAATCAACCAAAATTAGACTTTTTTTTGATGTGATCAAAACAGTTCAATGTAAGTTGCACCTACACTGAAGGTCTGAAATTAAAGTCTTTCCTGATGTCCAATGACACAAAATGCCAATTACAAGAATTCAAAATGGAGAAGTCAGTGTATGTCATAGTCTAAGACAAGTTAAAGCCAAGTAAAATTACAAATTTTATTAAATAATTTTAAATTATTGTATAATTGTCTTTACAAATTAATACAAAACAGTAATATCAACACCAAAATTAATACAAAGGCTAAACATTTACTGTCATGGCTTTTATACAATTCCTAAGTGCTCATAAAAGTCAAAAAGCCTCTACTTCTTGATTAAATTATAATCTGCTAAGTAATTTTGAAATACATATTAAACTACATAGATGTACTTTGGTTTAATTGAAATTGCTGTTAATGATATATGCACTTTCCACCTCAATGATATTTACCTCCTAGGTAAGTTGTTTTTATATGAGATGAAAAGAGTTTTCTATAATAGACTCACACAAGATTTAAAGCTTTTCTTTCTTCATTCATTCATTTGTTTGTTTTGAGACAATGGCTTGCTCTGTAGCCTATGCTGGCCTCAAACTTGCAATTCTCCTGCCTTAGACTCCCAAATGCTGGGATTGCAGGCATGTGCCACCATGCCTGGCATAGATTTGAAACATGTGCATTGACTATTCAAAGTTTAACACACAAATGTGTAGCAAAAGATACAAAACCATAAAGCCAAACGACCCAGGGCATTAATACATAGTGATGAGTGCATGACTCACCAAGAGGAGAGAGACATGGTGTGAAGTCTAATCCCAGTTTCATGGAAGAATTATTAAAAAGTAGTGATCTCCATGGAACTGAAATTATTAATTGTAAGTTTAAAGATTAGTCAGTCTCATTTCAATTTACATAATGCTCCAGGGCAGTGGTTTCCCACATCTGCCAATGTTACAAGATTCCTAGGAAAAATCCCTCTCCCAAGACCACTCAAAAACATCAAGTTTCAAGGAACTTCTACCCTTATGAAGATCACCTATGAATCCCGTGTTGCTTACCCTTGATCTGCAGGGTGAGGGGAGAAAATGATCTTTAAATTGCCTCTAGGATGTTTAAATAAAATGTGACAAGCTGAAATCAGGAGTAAAGAAAATATGAAAGAGAACTCTTAAGTGGCTAAGAGTGGGTGGCTACAGACACTCGTTCCTTTAAAAGAAGACTTCTTGCTTTCCCACCCTTTAGAATTTCTCTTTAAAATGTCCACATAGTTGTTATCACAACAGGGCACAGAATGGAGAAACGCTAATGATAAGAGTTACTATTTACCAAAAGCCTTCTGTGGTTTTAGGCATGTTGGTAAGTAAATGCTTCTGTGATTTGACTGTAGGTCTACACAGGGATGTGGAGAGAGAATACAAAGCCACAAAATAGAAAGCCATGGCTGTCTTCCTGGAGGGCTGGTTTTTCTTGTGGGCAAGGAACTTAACAGTTTTGTTTGTGAAAGCATTCTTTTATCCAATAGCTATTTCTTGGATGCTATGAAAGACACAGAACAGATATCCTTCTTGTCCTCTGGGTACTTCCAGTTTAGTGAAACAAACAAGAAATACAATAGAGAAGTTGAAAGCAAACTTTGTGTGTAGTTTTAAGGTGACACCTGAGACCTCAAGGGAGAAGTCTTGTTTGTGGCAAAATGGTTTCTGGCAATGTCCAGGCAGTCTGGCATCCGGACCATTGGTTCACTCTAACTTGAGAATCACCCAAGTGGAACTTTGAGAAGTGCTGGTATCAGTGTATCATTTAATCTTCACTACAATAAGAAATAGTTACTTCCAATTTAATGAAGGAAAAAAAAAGAAGAGATTTGAGAAATTAGGTAACTTACAGCTGCTGGCATCTGAGTAAGTCTGTACCATTCCAAAGTCTACATATTTTTAACCACTAAATTATACTACCTCTAGGTGTTTCCCACTTTATGTTTCCCCTTGAAATCTGGGCTCATTCAGGATTATGCAGGCTGGTTTAAGCTTCGCTTTGGAAGGAAACAGGTTTGGCTTGATTTGCATTCTAAATATTTCACAGTGGTAAGGGAAAGCTATTATTATACCCATTTTATGGTGAGGAAGCTGAGCCACTTGCCAGCTGAGGTATCTGGCTGGGTTAAAAACAGAATCTGGGTTGTCAGTCTCTCATTCCTCTTAACTAACTCGAAGCCTAGGCAATGCTTCTAGCCAAAGGCTTTTCTGTGTAGGGGACTCATACTGGGGGACAAAGAGTAAGACAAACTTTCACTAAGAAGGAGTGATAATAGTGCAATAATAAAATGAAAAACAACTCATCATAAATCACTCACAAAATGGTAACTAAGGTTGTGGATAGAAAAGGTAGGGCTTATTCATCATAAATGAATCAGAAAATTAGAATGTGTCACAGTACTCATGACAGAGCTGAGGAATTCAGCTGCTCTGAAGTTCAGCACTCATCCTTCTAGCTGAAGAGGGGAAAAAGTGTTACAACCAGAGCAGAAATGACCTCGTTGACATGTTGTGAATTTTCCAGTCTTTTTTGGTTTCTGACTACTTTGTCTATATGTTAGGTGAGTTTATATCTTTGTTTTCTGTGAGAATAGAAAATATTTTAATAATCCTTTTATGTTCTACGAGTATTAATTAATTCTTATGTGGGAGGCATCCCAAACAGTAGGATGAAGATTTTTACCTTACTGATTTTGTTAATACTTCTCTTCCTTCCAGGACTCTCAAAGACTGAGGAACTGTTAGATTTTGAGATTCATTTTTTTTTCTCCAAATAAGTGCCAGCTTCATAGATTCCTGTCAATTGATATTCCATTTTCACACTGGGTACATGATTTCCTTTATCTGACATATTCATGAAATTTTATGCTAGATTTAATGACATTTCATGCACCCTGCATTTGGGAGTTGTTAACTCTCTATTTTCTACCCTGAAAAAGGTTTACAAGATGAAGTCAGTGGGAAGGGTTACTCTCATGCACATTTGGAACATTTACAACCCTTACTAGGTCCTTTGGAGTCTTTTATAGACCAGTTTCTTAAAGTATTTTCATTTCTTTTGGACAGTCAGAAAAGGTAATAGATGGTAGAAATGGTCATTCAGATCTTGAAGTCAACTTTTCAAGACTATATTGTTTTGGATTTGTCAAAAGAGAAGTATTGATAGAATCAGAAGGGCAATCTGATAACACCCTTCAAGATGCTTCTCTTAAAGATTCGGATGACCAAGCTTAGAGCAGGGAGGTCAGGAGGATCACAGTTAGGCAAAAAGTTAGTAAGACACCATTTGAAGATATAAATCGGGAAGGAGAGTGATGAAGAATTGCATTCATAAACTGACATGTGTGGAAAACCCTTTCTATGACTGTTTAGATAATTAAAAATTCTATAAAAAAGTAAAATAAAAAAATCAAACCCACAGGTTTTTAATTAAAATATTTCATTAGCATAAAAAAGAAATAAATCAAGCATAATGTTTCACACCTATAATCCCCAGCAAAATGGAAATCATTACTAGGAGGTTTGTATTCCAGTGCTGGCCAGACCGAAACCACAAAACCCTACCTGAAAAATAGCTAAAGCAAAACGGTATAAGAATATGGTTCAACTGGTAGAGAATCTAAACCCCAACACACACACAAAAACAACAAAAAAACTGTTGTGATGAAATAAGTACTCATTAAAGATCAATGATCAATACAGAGAATTTAAAAACTAAAGTTCAACAATTAGACCTTGGACTATTTCTTAGCCTTAGCCAAGACATAGTTTAACATTTACCACCATTTCCCTTCCACTCACACCAGTCTGTAGCCCTACTTAAATCTTCTTGATTTTTTTTTTTTTGGCAGTGTAGAATGAAAGCAGAATTACCAATGGTGGTGGTGGTGGAGGTAAGGATAAATTTGTTTAGTAATGGGGCGGGGGGGGGGGTGTTTCCTGACAGCTCCTAAAGTACACCTGACTCTTTAGCATTATGACTTTTAGGAACACTTTATAATCTGAGTCTGAATAACGTTTTCTGTGTACCTCAAATTTCTGAAGTTGTAGCTTTGCAGATTCTGAAAGCACTGGGTATCAGGACCTTTGATCTACAGTAAATTGCTACTCTTTAGGGGATCTGAAAAGGCCTGGCACTGTTACTATGTAGCCCAATCTATAACAGACACTTGATCAGAATGCTGCACACAGACCACCATCAATGCCATTTGCCACAAAAAGCTTGTGCCTATTTCAGTACAAACTCATCCCAAGACTTGGCAGTGTATAAACATAGAAAGGAACATGTTAGTGGCACAGAGGGCTTTGGAGTAAATATGGGCACAGCAGGGAAAAAGAAATACCCAGATCAGTGCGAACAGAAGGCTATCTTTACTCAAATGGTTCCTTCAAATGGTTAAAAACAGTACAAAGAGAAACAATATCACAGTAAATGATATAAAAACATATAGATTAAACAGGTAATCATACCTAATGGTCTGTTAGATATTAAACAATACGGATAACATAGGAAAGGTCTGCGTTTTAATGACTTAGAAGGAACTTTCTGTATCATAGACTGGAAAATGTTATTTTTGTCCTTGTCACAACCAACTATTTGCTTAAGAGCATCCAAGACCTTTCACAATCTGGCCCCAGCCCATCTCTAGTTTTTTAAGTTGTTTTCCTTCCACTGTTCCTGTATGTATGTACTATGACAGCCTATTTGCTTCTCCTTGAGCATGCTAAGACATCTGTGTCTCTGAGCCTTTGCTAACAGTCCACACTTAAATATCCCAACTTCACATAGTGTGTTAAACACAGAACAACACTCCAATGTTTGTTGAATAAAAGCTGTTTATCTATTTTAAGAGGGAAAGATGATAGAAAGAAGTTGTTAAATCAGTAAATAAATAGCATCACAGAGAGGTCAAGGAAAAGTTAATTTTAGTGCCTTTTAGGAGTGGGGGCAAGATGAGCTTTAAGATTAGGAAAACTGATGCTCTTTATTCTTGGGTCTAGCCAATGCTATGAGTCAGTTACTTTTTTGGGAACAAGTTTAAACCTCAAGGTTAAATGAACACAAATGCTCTGTCCATCAGGATATAATAAAAAAAAAAGTCGTGGCTATTTCTACACCAGCACAGTGAAATTAATATATGCAGTTCCTTTCTCTGAGGCAACATATATGAAAGAACTTTTAAAAATAGTCCCCTTTGCTACTTGGGTATGGAAAGAACTATAAAAACATAAGTAAATGTATTTAAAAACTGAGATAATTTAGCCTAGGGAAGAAAGAACTGAGGCGTGTCCTCATGGTTTTCTGACTATAAGAATACTCTTTACAAAGAGGATAATGATTGGTGTTTTTGTCCTAGAGCAAAATAATATTAAAAATTTCAGTAAAAAACTTAAGACTTAAAGACGAACATTCTAAATATGTAAGTAAGAGACAATCAAATAAATTGCTAAGAGCAGTTATGAAATTTCTTTCTTCAGTGCTCTTTAAAAACAGGAAAGATTCTCATCTATTTTCCATGAAATAAATGCGACTCTGCCCCTAGTCTGGAGGATGAATTCAATAACTTCTTATCTTGCTCCGCTCTATATGATTCCACAAAATCCTACAAATGTTGACCCTAAAAATTACACAGAATTACAAGAGTTTAGGAAAACAGATTCTAAAGATAAAAGAGGACCAGACAATACAGATAGTAAGTTATTAAATTAAAAACAGTACACACAGTGTTTAAGTATTGGTTTAATTCACCAAATGTGTAAGACACAAAATTGAGGATAAATAGACTAATAGATTAGAGTCTTCTTTAAGTTTCAGCCTAATGATTAGCTGGAGAAAAACATTCTAACAACTTATTCTTTTACATCTAAAAATTTAGCTGAATATTTCATAAACAAAAATCTAGCTGAATATTCCATAAATCTGGTATTGACTATACCCATGAACTCATTTTCAAATTAAAGAAAAAGCTGGGAATAAAGTCCAGAACATAAGAACTCACTATTATTATCCTCAGGAACATGGTCAAAGACAACAGGAGGACCAGTGGAGTTTTCCTTTAAGTGATCAAAATTGGCCCCATAGGGTAAAGAATACAAATCCAGATCAGACGAAGATCTAACACGGGTGGCAAGTTACCGGCTTTCTTGTCTATTTACCTTGTAGCTTTGGAGCTCAGAAGAAGTGTCCATTACATACAGCACAGGAGCAGATGAACAGTTCCAATGACCTTGTCTGAACCAAATTCATTTAAAGCAGTTTGCCACATTTCTTAAATAGAAGATGAGCCCATTCTATCTATGGCCCAGATTTGGAGTGGATCACTGAACTATTGCCCAACACTTATAAGCAAAGTACTAACATGTACCAATCAACAGGCAGCCCATAGCAAAGGCACCAGGAAGGTCAAAATTCACACGAATAAGAAATTGGCAGTACATTATAGAAGAAAGCTATTTCTAAAGAAGGACTTTGGCTATTAAAACATTTCAGCAGTATTCAGCTTTTGTCAGGAAAAAAATAGCAACAAAATCTCAGTTCCAACCTAACTTGTAAAGATCTAGTTAAAAAAAAAAAGAGAGATTGAGAGAAATGTAGTTTTATTTTGCAACCCATTATTTTCATAAGAACACAAATCAAAGAGACGAACGATGCCAATTTCTAAATAGCCAACTTGTTAGAGGAGATGGTTCTAGTCGTCACTAATGACTCGAGGTTGGCTATTACTGATTGGGAGTTGGGAGGATAGAGGGCTAAGACCTTTCAAAAGAAACACTTTGTGCAGTATCACTACAGAAAATAAAGTCAGCATTAAGCTAGCTTTGACAAGCTAACTAGGATAATGGTTGGTGCATGTAGCTGTTGTTTATACTGTTTCAAATGACAGGAAGGAACTGAACAGCAAAGAGTTCAAACCAACCAGCAACTTGAATTTTGAAAAGCTGTGGCATGGTAAGTTGACACTGTACGTGGTTAGAATTCATGAGGCTTACTCCCTCCCTTCCTCTATCCATGCCTTTTTATTTCCATATCCACATTTATCCGGACAGTTGAAGAAAAAGGAATAAATACTATTAGGATTATTTCTTTGGGGGACATTCTCAGTTTTGCGTCCACCCTACCATGACTTTTTCTCTGTTTTCTAAAATGTATTAATTTAATTGTTTTAATACTTCCTCTTAGGGGAATTTGCATTTTCTTAACTGTCTTTACAAGATCCAAATTTAGCTTTTGTTCATAGGTAACGAGGAGGTATTGGTGTGGGGGTGGGGTGTATATATGTGTGGTAGTGATAGTGGGCGTTGTCTTGAGTTCCAACATTTCAGTTGTTTATGTTTTTTCTACCTCATGTAGTCAATTTTGCTGATAGTTAATTTCAAATAAAATATCTTCAGAGATAATCTCTCTCTCTCTACATAGATATATGTATCTTCTCTAAAGTTATAAACATTTTGGGGCTTGTGTTCATATACTCAAGGAAGTCTTGTTCCTAGTAATGCCAGAGTAATTAGTAGAAACAAGAAAACACATATGGTTGCACTGAAGCAACATATTCATTGTTAGTGTTTTCCTCATGCTAAATTTCCATTGGTTCTTGGCTCTATATTAGTGCATTCTCAAGGCAATTTTACAATATATTTCAGCTCTAGTAAACTTGGACCATGATGTTTCCTAATAAATATCTGAATTCTTGTAGTCACCTATTATGGATTTAGGAGTTAAGAAGGTTTTCTGTTTGCTCTTTAACCTCCCACTTTCTGAGAAGATTAGACTGTAAACAACCTAGTGGGAATCCTTCAGGCTGAACCAAGGCCAAGCTGATCGCTGCTGGTAGGGAACCCATACCACTCTATGAAACACAATTAGGAAAACAGAAAGAATTCACCCATACTTTCAGGAAGAAATGACACTGCTTCTTAGTTGAGCTCTAGTATCATTAAAGAAACTGAAAGATAAGATTTTTATTTCTTTATATTTATTTCTTTATATAATTTTTAAGTAATTGTAAAGTGGGGTTTCAATTCAACCTATCAAGTTATGAGTATAATGCATCTTGATCAGAGGTAAGATTTTTAAAACAGTTGGCAGAGATAATAAGTTTCTAAACAAACCAAATTTGCCAAGATTTTTTCAAATGGTGTATTAATTGTCAGTGTCTGACAGTTGCCTGCCCCAGACACTTCAAGAGAAGTCCATTGTCCCCCACCAATGAAGCCCAGAGCTCCCTTCTTTTCTCCAATCAATTTATGCCCAGAGTCTGAAGGTTCATAGCTTTCTTTTAATTTTGTGAGTCTGCCCTTGCATGGTTCTCCTGCATGATTTGGTCCTGAGGAAGTGACCTACCCACAACCCCACAGAGCTAATTAACCCCACACTGAGCACTTTTTCTCTCATTTCACACATCCACTCAGTGTTTTAAATGACCCAGCAGCAGATCATATGATTTATTTTTCCCCTCAGTGAGGAAATCATGGTATTGGGAAGAGCAGGGATCTACCTGTTCTCATTCAACCCAGTAGTGTGATCTCAAAACACTAACAAATAGCATCTTATCTAAGGTTGCAGTAAAAGCTGAAAAATCCATGAGTGAATCTATTTTATATCATTCACTCAAATTCTTGCAGTGCTTATTATAAGCAACAAATAATTTATAATAAATACTGAGGTAGAGAACTTTGATCTTTATTCAGAACATTAAAAAAAAATCTTACTAAAAAAACTGCCCAAAGAAGCCACAGGCTACTGTCTGTCTTGAACAGCTGCAGGGAAAAGACTGAGCTGAGAATGATATAATTCATCTTCTTTTCATTTCAGGGAATAGACTCACATTTCTCAAATGTATTTTATTTTATTTTTTGCAAAAGTGAATATTTGGAAGACTACAAGATCACTGTTTTCTAACTTTCTAAAAATGAAGTGAACATGATGACAGTGGGTGATTTAATGGAATCAGTTTGTCAGCGTGATGGAGCTGAAAAGCTTTTACAGAATGTGTCCCCACGCTAAACAACAACAAAATCCCCCCAAACCCACCTTTAACTTAATGTACAGAGCATAGAGAGGATGTTTCTCCTTGGCAAAAGAAAGAAATATCATTAATTTGGACAGTAAACATAAGGTTCTGCTACAAATCTCTGTAGTAAACCCCAGAAATTGCATGCTGACCAGACAAATGAAGACAGGCAAGTTCTAGGTCTTGTTAGAAGCTTCTAAAAGAGTCATCAGAGTTTAAAGTTTGCTATTTGGTTGGTGACAAGAAACATTCTAGGCAATTTCACTCTGTTCTGCTAGTACATGCACTCAGAGTTTTAAAGATTTAGGCATAATAGCCCTGAAAATGACTTCTCAATGCCCCACCTTACACTATCATACTTCTGTTACCAAAAGTACATAGGCTTAATTCATCTGCTGGGTAGCACTTGATCAGAGAATATGCAAGTCTTTTGTGGACATTCAGCCTCTCCTTTGCAAAGTGATTCATGCACACCAATTCTATACCTCTCAGTCAAGTGGACAATTAGGACAAAGGAAAACCCATGTATTATTTGCAATTCTTTGAGGTGTCTCAAATCTTATGATTTGTAAAAGAAAACATAATGGAAATTCTAAAACACATTTCCCATTGCTTCCTGAACTTCTTGGTTGCCAAGAAGGAGGGTCTTGTGGGTCATGTGAGTAAAACTGGCTCAAAAAGATCCAGTGAGGCACAGCTCATTCTTATGTATACTGGTCTAGAATTTCATGTTTAGCATAGAGACTAACTGACTCATTTGGTCATCCTTCAGCAATTGGTTGGTTTTGGTGTGATTTCAAAGACTGTGCTGCCCACTAGAATTTTTAGGATCTCTGATGCTCAGGAATCATGATCTATATTACTATCTTTTTGGATTTATCTCCTATCACTTTCATGCAAAATTGGCCCACCTGACAATAAAACATGGATACCTGTGGGAGTGGACAGGATAAGGAATGGGAACAGAAAGGAATAAATCATAAAAAATAGTGACTTTATGCCCTTTTTAAAATTCAACTCTTATAAATGAGCCTAAAGAGTTTCTGAAGTAAGCTTGAGAGTTGATTTAGATAGAGACTATGGAAAGTATTTTTCTAGATGGAACCATGTATCCATTTATTAGTTCAACTTTTTTTTTCTAAGAACCTATTATTTTTATTCAGGTAATACATTTCTAGTCCTTTTCTCATGATCTTTCATTACCATGTATGTTTTAAAGAGATTTTATGTCTTAATTTGCATTTGTTGGCTGACTTGAAATTATCATAACAAGCTGCTCCAAATAACCTCTCTTTATCTTTCTTATTTGCTCTTTTCCATTGGCCTGGGACAGCCTCATGAATGACTTGACTCTTCATAGCCAATACAGTCAACTCAGCTAATTTCCTCCAATACCTAGTGTACTTTGTCTTTCTTAAGTAGCCATGTCTAGAAATTTTTAAGTCTTTGAAATAGATCTTACTGACCAGAGAACCATTTTTCCTTTTTTTTTTCTTTCTTGAAACAAGTTATGAGGCTTTGGCCTCCAAGAAGTATATCTCCAGCTATGGGCATATTATAAATCAATGATCTCCCTGACACAACACTCACTACAGATAGAAGGATTTCAGTATTCAATATATGACCATAATCTTATTCCGTAATCTGGATTTCAAAGAGGACTTAATGAAGTACTATCTCTCTCTCTCTCTTTCTCTCTTTTACAAGGAACTACTCCTTCTATCTGGCCATCCTAGGTTAATGTCAATAAATACAATGTAAGAAACATTAACTCTTCTTCAGCTTGTTGAATCTGTTTATTTTCTCATATCCCTTATCAACAATAATAGGAGAATTTAATGTATGTGCCAAGAACTGCCCTCTTCTCCCCATTTATTTTCAGATGTTTTCATCTTATATAAACAGTGGTGATGGAATTATAAATACTATTATTCCTTCTCCATGTTAATACTCTTATTATCTTGCATAAACACAAGTGAACAAATGCGTACATGACACCAATCAATCTCTTTTTTAAAATGCAGTTTTCATATTTTTAAGCAGTAGAGAAAGAATTTAATGAATTCAACATGTAGTTTACCTGTTTATATTTTGAATGTTAATGAACTAAAACCAAATTATTACTTAAGTTCTTCCACACGTACATTAGTCATTAACACTGTCCATGCCAGCATGGAATAGAG